AATGATTAAACTCAATTATCTCAAAATAAAATTTATGTAAAAAAGGGCTGTTTTAATAGATAACACCCCATATGATCATATCTGATATGATCAGCAATATCGATATAAAATAATGTATTTTCTATATTTTCTATGATAATGTCATATCTAAGATGAAAGAAACTCTTTTTTTTTGAACAATTAACATGTCGTCAGTTGTTGATACCACCCACGAAAAGGATAATACTGGTGTGAATGCAAATGAAAATGAGCTTGCTGACGCTATTAATAATATGGCCATAAACGTTAAGAAAAAGAAGAAGAAAAAAAAGAAAAAGAAGGAAGCTGGGTGCGCTGATGCTGATTTGGAATTTTTCGATAGTGGTCCAAAGGACGCGGACGAAGATAAACTTTATGATCCGTAAGTTTATTATTATTATTTTCAAATCTCTGAATTACTAATAAAGATTGGGATTATATATATTCAAACAGATCACGTTCAATAACCCAACGCATCGAAACTGCTGTTCAAAAATACAGAAAGAACCGTAAATTCAGTCCGACCCGCAACCAAGTATTTAGCTCATATCTTCGGTTCGGTGGTATCAATACTGGCCAGAAATCATTTTTAGGTCAAGACGGACTTAATTGCGAGGATGCAGATGCAGATGAAATAGCTGCGCGACGCGCCACAGATTATATTGAGGAAAATGATGATGAGCTGGAAGTGGATTTTACATACACAATTCGTGTCTACTTGTCAAGTTATTTGATCGATAAATCTGGTTATGTACAAATGGATCAATTTCGTGAAGCGCCCCTTGTTGTCACGTCATTCTTAAATTATCTGATTAAGCATGAAGTATGTAATGAGTATCTTTCTGATATGCAAGAGGCACTGAAGATTGCAGAACGTGCAAAATACGAACTTCCGAACTGCAAATTATTTGCACAGCTTGCACCGGGAAAATTTAATAAGGCGTGTTCTTTGATATTCGGTGGCGAGTTATATGGAATGTTTGAAAGTACGTGGTTTGGAGAAGAAAGTGTAGCAAAAATGATTGGTATTTCACAAAACGATGCAGATCTGACTGTTAAAAAGATTTTTGGTCAGAATGTTCAGGGTGAGTTGAAGCAGGTGCCAGAAGCTTCAAAAAAAGCATTATTTGTTGAAGTTATCGATATAGAACCAGTTCCAGATTCAGTAACATCAGATAAAACGATCAATGAAGAAACGTCGACCACGGAAGATATCACTGCGAACAGTACTACCATAGAAACTAATGCTACGGAATGCACTATGAATGAACAGACTTCATTGAATGATGAATATCTTCAAAAGATGTCCGTCCGCGCGTTTCAAGTGTCTGATGCAGAAACAATCACCGTTTATATTGAACCTGATATTGCACGATGTGCTACGCTTGGAATGCTTATCACTGCAGATTTTCATCAATTGAATAATGGTCGGTGGTATTTTGATCGAGTTACAAATGTATATCCTTCTTATTACCTTGTTGGTGAAGAATCATCTGATGAAGATGAGTAGAAATAAACGCAGTAAATATAAATTTGATATGTATATATATATATATATATATATATTCAGTGTCTAGTGTTTAATATTTGTAAGAAAATTAATTTCACGTGTGGTAAAATATGTTTAGCTTAATCGTTGAAAAGATAAATGGAAAGATAGACAATATCATGTGCAATTGGCCGGGATTTAGAGACTCGTAAAATATTTATCATTACAAGTAGTGTTTGTAATCAAATTAAATTTATCGACTCGATAAAACGTATGTTAAGTCGACTATGCCAAGTTGATCGTAGTCTTCCGAATTTCCGATATTCGTGCTCGTGTCCCGATTATTTTTACATTTGAGAACTTTCGCCAAAATGCACCTTCGAAGGGCTGGTGCTAGAGATGTAATCCAAACTATTTGGACATCCCAAACTGTGTAATGAATAACATCACACGGTTTCGGCAATAATAGTTTATAGGTATGCTTTTATGCTGTATATTTTAATTAAATTAATCTGTCAAAAGTCGCTATGTATGCATTTTGTACATCTCTTTGTTTAGCCAATAAAAATCATATTCAATATTTTGCTTATGAAATCACCTTTTGGGCTTTAACAAAAAAAAAATTCCTTGCTAAATTTTACTATCGGCTATGCCTAACCTTAACCCCAAGCCTTTACTTTTAATCTAATATAAAAGAATTAACTTGGTTTAATAAAAATTGTGTTGATTATATGTTACATTAACAGGATTATCGGGTGTACAGGTGCGCCGTTTAACGTTAATTTAATTGATAACTGTATATTCCGTGCTTTTAGCACAGAACCATTTTTTTTTAATTGATATTTGATGGCTTTAAATTTAAACAATCAAATTGCCAAAAGTTCGACAAAGCTAAAAATTATTTCCAACCAACCAATAACAGATTTGCAAATAGACAAATATTATTAAAATGTTTGTATATGTTGTACCTAAGCACAAGATATTACTTTGGTCTAAATGAGTGTTAAAGTTAAGGTTAGAATTAGGTTATAGTTAATCACTAAATTATAAATTTACACATTCTTGAGATCACGAACTCTTGTTATTAAAATTATGAATCCATGTATTTATAGTTGAAATTATTTTTTTACTATTAAAATCGAGAATATTGTTAAAATTACAAATTTATTTATTATAAAATTACTAATTACTATTGTAAGATTGCAAATCTACTCAACTCTTCCCAACGATCCCTCAGTTAACAACTTCAGAAAATTGAATTACAGAAAAACATTATAGAAGATACCAAAAGCAAACAATATTCTTAGTTCTATACAAGTAGATGTATTGTTAACAAAGCTACAAGATGTGAAGCCAAGGAGCAGAACATGTTTGAATGGTTTTTACCAGGGTTAACTTTGCTTTGGGGGATTTTTTACATATTTAGTATTCAAATCAAAAGGATATTTTGGGAATACAGAATGATTAGATCAATATTAAGAATATTAAAAGCTAGAGGTTGTTTTTTTATAATTATAAAATTTACAAAAAACAATTCACAAAGTTTTGTTGAGTTTTATTTTATTTAAAAAAATTTTTAACAAAAGTGACAATTTAGCTTATTTTTTTTAAAAAATGAATATTCTAATTACCAAAATAATAAGGTATGTAGTCATTAGCCTATAATCAAAAGAAAATAAGTTTTTAGTAAATTAAGAACCTAGAGAAAGATAAATAGTTATTGAGATAGGTTATATATAATTAATAGTCAGGTGAGTTTTTTGTTTGGTTAGATTTTTTTATTATTTTTTTTTTTTAATATTAAAGTGACCACTTTGGAGTCTGATATGGTTTATTAACTTCTTAGTTCAATTATCAGGATACTAAATAGGCATCTCTTGACTTTGTTATATCAATAAGAGTACAATTGATCATATGTACAACTTTAGTCATTGTCTAATTAAGGGCTTCACTATATCTATTTTTATCTATATTTACTTACCAATTGCTATACCTAGAATCTGCTTGTGGATCTCTTATTTAAATTCTCTGATCGACTTAGTACTGTCAGATGCTTTTTCCAAAAGAATTCCTGCTACTAAGGCCTTTTAGGACTACTTTATCCTCATGATAAATCTACCAGAGCAGTTCATGTTTTACACATGTATCATCTGGGTTTTTTGGAAATATACACCCCAATTTGAGGACTGGAACTTGCAATCTTCTGCACCGTTACTTAGCGATATATGTTTTAACTATCTCACCACTTTTTTGAAAATGACTAAAATCTGAAATATTAATTTTAGCTTTAACTATTTAAAATATTTTTATAAAAAATATATGATTATATATTCTATTTAATACTCTACAATTTTATTTAGAAGATTAAACAGATTATTATAATAAAATTTTGAATAAATTAGCTTTATTTTTTGTCAAAATGTCTCAAAATATCCAAACACTATGTTCTAAAATATTTCATATACATCACTATAACTACCGTAATCAGATGTTTTATAGAATAGGTGGGCAATATAAAAAATAAGCTTCGCTAATAATTAGTAATTATTAATTTTTTAATAGCGGAGTTGCGAAGTTTGCAGAGTTTGCCACCTATTCTATAGAACATCTCTGTAATCTACTTCTTGCCCTTTACAAGGTTCATTCTGATTCTGATATCCATTTTTAACTGGCCCTTATACTGATCTATCTTCAACTACCAAACCAGTTAGCCCAGAAAGGTTGTTATACCTAGGCTCTAAGTACCTTTTGGTTTTACTTCTCTTAGTTCCAAATTCCATAGTATCAGACCTTTTTCTCCAATATAATTCCGGCGACTAGGTTGGTGGATCTTTCTTGCCCCAGGATTGTTTATCTAGTTCTTCGATCTCTGGTTCTGGTTTTCTATAATATTATTAAAGATCTTCACTACTTCTAGCTTGGGTCTTGCCAAACAGGTTTCAAATATTCTAATTTCTTGGATTTGGATCGCCCTAAAGCTTCTATTTTAAGATAATAGCACCAAGGTTACAAGTGATATACCTAACCGATCATTAAATAAATATTATCATAATACAGGCCTATTTTTTGAAAAATGTCTCTAGTAGAAATTAAACTCTAAACCTGCCACTTGGGAGATGATAACTTAACAACTACTCTATATTGTCACACCTTTTTTGTTTGGTTAGATTAGTAATAGTTAAAGATAGAAATTTATATAATTTTTTTTTTGTTTCTAAGGCAATCTGTTTGCTTTATTTGTAAGAAGAAATCTTGTTGGTATGAGGTACATACTAACTTCAGAGTCTATTATTCTCAAACCATCAGCTAAACTACCCAAGCTAGCTACACAGTTGTCAAAGTTTCTACTTGCAATCAGGCCGAATCATTAAACCACTTATACTTTATGCTCAAGTCAACCTGCCTGAGCAAACCCTTGGTCTTCTCCAGAGGTCCAAAACTTCTTTCAAACTTTTTTCCTCCAGAATCCTCGACCGGTGATTTGCGAGCCATGTCAAGATTCCTGCTCTATAATAGAATGCCACCAATCTGATGACACTTTCTCGTAGAGAAGGAAAAAAGAAAAAAAAAATTTGAACAAAACAAAAAGGGAAAAACAAAAACAAATATATATACGAAAATGGGTACTAATATAAAAGGAATCAAAAAACTAATCTAAAAACCTATAAGAAACTATCGCTAGAATAAAGAAAACCTGCTAACTAGGTAAAAACTTTATCTATATAGAGTAATGAACTACTTATATTGACTTGTTGCGAGAAACTTGACATACCAAAAAAAGAAAAAAGAAAACTAACATATACTATAACTCGTGACAGAGGATAAAAATTATATACATATGACTATAGAAATGTCTGTATATCTCACTTTACTTTGCTTCTTCTTTCCGTAATAAATCCATATCATCATCCGAAAGTATATAAAAACTTTGAAGCTTCACACCTATATTACACGTGTTTGTATATCCTAAAAACAATGCGCTATGTAAGGTACCCTTTCAGATACCTGATCCAGTTACTTTATTCGCTGGTACTATCTATTTTACATGTATGGTTTTGTTATCATATGAGATCTTTGCTAGGAAAATCACCTTTTGATATTTTCCGATCAGGCTAATTCAGACAAATTCAAACCAATATATCAGTACCTATTTGCATGTAAATTATTTTTGCCTCTATTGATTCAAATATTCATTTGATAAGCTATTGAATCAATAAGTATAAAATATGGTTTACATATAAAAAGAGCCAGTATGTTGGTTTAAAATAGTCCGAATTAGCCTGATCGAAAAATATAGAAGGGTGATTTTTCTAATAAAGATCCCATATAGTTTCTCAATATGGAAGTGGTAAATATTGTTGATCTTTGATAGGGGTTTGCCGAATTTCCTACTTTTTGTCGAAAATTGTGGCCAAAATATAAAGAAGAAAAAAATATAGATATTGCGAGTATCTAACTAGAGAATGTTTTTCCAATTGTTCTTTGCCACCTTCCATCATCAAACAAACTTAGCTTTCTTTTTACTTGCTGTTCCCAGAGACTTCTCCGGTTTGGATGCCAAATACACAAGAGAGTTCATCTGAAGTGAAGAATAGAACCAAGGCTTGACCCTTGTACAAACTGTCCAAAATGCTCGCTCCTCAGTGTATCATGTTAAAAAACTTCATTAACAACAGTTTGTATCAAGAAAACCTAAGGTTGGTGCTGATTTTGGTCTTGAGTCTTCAAATTGTATTTGGTGAAAAGTTGGTACAAGTGATCGTTGGAAAGAGTTTTTTTGAATTTATATAATTTTTTAAATAGCTTGATTTCAAATAAACAGAGACAAGTTTGCCAAATTATAAAATAAAATTACTAAAATAATCAATATTGATTAGTATTTATGAGAGTGTTTATATAAGTAAATAAAAAATTATTATTTTTTTTTTTAATTCGGCTGCCTGCCACTGTTTATTTATAACAAAAACTATTTAACAAATTACAAGAATTTCTCTTCTAGCTATGAGATCTCTGTACAAATA